TTTTTCCTCGGTGTCCAGATCCGCGCAGCCGGTTAACGAAACGAATAGGATCGACGCGGTCCGGATTTAGCGGCTAGGCAGCGCCTAGAAGATTCATTCGCCGGATCGCACACCGCTCGTTTTTCCTCCGCTCTCGCCGGCGAGATTCCGAAGTTCTTTCCGACAGCACCTCGACAATCCCTCGCTGATCGGTTTAATCTCGAGGGATCCGCGCGCTCGATCCCGCCGCTAACTCGCGGAATTTTCCCCGGGAATCAGACACTGTGCAGCGGGAAGAAACAAGGGGATCGAGGGGAGAGAGAAAAATCAAGCAGCTCCTTTGATTATAGCGGCGCGCGGATGGTTGTTATACTTAATTAGGAAAAAAAAATAGAAAGAGAGTGTGAGGGAGAGAGAGAGAGAGCTGATTCTGCGGGTTCTCACGGTGAAAAAGAACACCGGGGGCGGCCTCTCTCCCCTGTAACGGAACCGTCGAAAGGATTCTCGAAAAGGGCAAAAGCAAGGAGGAATTTTCAACCGGCTGGCTGTGTACCGAGAGAAGAACGGTCGAGTTTTCGAGCCGGCAGATGAACTTTGAAGGGCCCGCACAGCCCGAGCGATATTCTTCCTTCTCGCAATTCCGCGCGCGATTCACGAGGACGCGGCCGACGTCCTCTCGGGCGGTGAACGTTCGTATTTCCTCGCGAATTATGCTAATTACGGTTGCCGTGCGCTGGCCTCCTCGGTGTCGTCGTCGTCGTCGTCGTCGTCGTCATCGTCGTTGTCGTCGTTGTCTCTGCACCGAGGCGCGAGTGGTTTTCGGGGCAAGCCGCGCGTTGCGCTCCCGTCCCGAAGAAGAGCGCCTCGAGCGTTAATTCGCCTCGACGCCGAGAAAGACGGAGAAAGAGAGATAAAAAGGACGAGGTTCTCTTGGACGGCACCGCTGCCAGACACCGACCACACCGCGGCCAAGGGTGACGACCGACTCCGGAAGAAATCGATTTATTCGTCGCTCCTCTGCTCCTTTCTGACCCGAGACAACAGGGACACCGGGGACAGACGCGAGGCCAGAGCCACCGACGCACGGAATATGAGGATCGATCGTCGGACTGCGTCGATGGTAACTCGATTAACAGCTAAAACCACCGGATACGGGAATTATTTGAAAAATTGATTCGTTCTGTCTCGTAATTTGTGTCGGAAAATCTAGACCGATCGGGCACGGTGATAATTAAAATTGGTTCACGCGCGGCGAAACGGTTTTCCTCGTTACGCCGGTGGGAAATTCGTGACAGAAGGCGCGATAAGATCTCCGCTATTTACAATGTTGATTATGCAGAAACGGTGCATAATGGAATCGAGGCGGCGCGAGCGCGAGCGCGAGCGCTCGTGCGCCGGTAATGGAAATGATTAAGCGAATCGCGAGCGGCCGCGTGTGACGTCAATAAATTTCGGGAAATATCGCTCGAAATGATTGCCCGCGTGTAGTGGGTAATTGTCGGCGTGGACACGATGAACCGGGGCTACGTTCATAGGAAACTCGTGACAGCTTCTGTCATTCGACGCGGACGGTATCGCGACAGCGTCCGATGCGGAATCGTTGCCACGCGAACGGAGGAGGAAAGAAATCGTTAGCGGAGAGAATTGAAAACTGTTGTGAACGGCGCGAGAGGCACTGTGTGTGTGTAGGCTCGCGAGAGGCGTCCGTTTATCTGTTATCTGAGTTTTTCGGGTGCACGATAAGTTCGCGTTTGATAAGTTCGATCGAGATAGCGGGCAGAAGTCGGCCGTTAACAAACAAGCGAGACGAGGCTTTATCCGGACGGCGCTGTGGAAATTTGTTAGGAAGGTTTCAGAGGTACGCCGATCCTCGGTTGATTTCGATCTCGAGTCACCCGCCGGCGGTGAATTAATCACGATCGGAAGGCCCTTTATCGTTCTCTGTTCTCCACGGCAAAAGGCAGCCCGATAAAAAGCTCGATCTCTCAATAGGAATTTCAAAGTCCACCAATAATTAACCGACGAGCGTCACTCCTCCCTCCCTCTCTCTCTCTCTCTCTCTCTGCCTTTCGTTTCATCGGCACACGAGTTCCTATCGCAAATTACACGCCGTCGAACGTGTCCCGAATCTAGTCCTTAATGAATCATTATTTCCCGATCCGACGATCGGTCTGCGTATCTCCGTCTCCCTCTTTCTCTCTCCGGAAGAATCGTCGGGAACGAGATGCACCGGGCGGGTAGCACATAATGCGCCTTGCTCCCGGAATCGAGGCAGGAAAAAAGTCGTGGGAAATCGGTGGAAAGTGGGCGGGGAGCGGCTCGCAAATGCGATATCTTGCTAACGAGCCGGTAATACGCGGCGGGCCACGCCAATAATTTCAATTTGCCGGTAGCTGGCGATGTCGAGGGCTGCCTCGGCTAGAGCTTTCGCGACGGGGGTGTGCTGCGCGGCGTATTCCGACAGGGTTTCTCGCGCCCCGAGCTTTCAGCCTATCGCGAATAATATTTAGAAAGCCGGCGAACGTTAACCGTGGCCGTTCGAATCGATAACACCGATACGCGGAGGCTCTCGGGGGACGCCGAAATCGAGGCGACAAGAAGAGGAGCTCTCGTTCGAAAATAACACCTGCGCCCGTTCGGAGCGCAAGGTGTGTCAGCGCCACTATAAAATTATTCCACCGCGAATGCTCCTATAATATTATTCTTAGGACAACTATAAATAACGCTTCGCCGGCGAAATCCGCCGCGCGGCGCGACCGCCGACTACACGCGCGTTTCACGTTTTGATCGCTGTGTCGCGGGAATTCGGGCGACGCGACCGTTCCCGATCGAACGATTTTCTCCGATTTCGTTGGATCCACTAGACCAGGGAAGGTTCATTCCTCCAGGCGTCCCGGGGGTTGCGCGCGGTCGGCGTGCACTTTTCAGCCGAATTTCGGGCCGTCCTCGGCGACATCGAGGTACCTCGTTAAGGGGCGGCGTATCAGCTTGGGAAATAGGGTAGCGTAGCCGCGGTTCTTGCTGTAATCAGTGCGTGGCGGTATCGTGGGACCGAATCTGCGCGCCATTACCAGGAAAATCCTCGCGCAGCCCTCGGGACCGTGTCGATCTTCGTAAGTTAGGAGGGTGAAGCGTCGAATTGGTCCGAGACAGCGGAGGCCTCGGCGCTGTCGATTAATAAATCACAAAGAAGACTCGCCCGGCCGACGATACTCTTCGATCCGTCCTTCCCTGTTCATCCCCGAAAACTAGTCGTCTAACCAGACAAAGGACAAGAGAGAAGAGGATTGTTCTCTCGCGTTAACGGCGGACGCCGATCAGCCGAGTAGCACGGTCATGTCCCGGAAATTGACCATATCGGTCGCCGTAAATAGAAAACGGCGGATCGAGAACGCTCCCGGTGAACAGGGGCGTGCGGACCACCTATCCGCTCTGACAAGGCAGACGCTTTCCTCCCGGGTTACGAGGCGGAGACGCTCGACGGGGGGAGAAAAATATACGGCAGGCCAGAAACGAAGAAGGACAGGCAGAAGGAAGGAAAAACGGAGAATAGGGGAGGACGAGTGGAAACGCGGCGGGATGGAACACGGTTCCCGTGTCGTGCATATGGGGTTGGGGGCTTAACCTTGACCCTCCTGGAATCCGAAACTCACCACACCCCGGGGCAAACCCTCCGCCGTTTCTGAATGTTCTTAACCGCCTCCTTTGATTTATCCGAACCTTCCAATTTCTTACCTCGCGAAGATATATATCGACCGACCTCGAGCTCCTCGACTACCAATCCGGTACAATTTAATTAGCACGGATGTTCCGTTTAAAGATGGAAACAGGGCTCCCTCGGAACGCTTCACGCCTTCTCTCCCAGTTGTCATTGCCAACAAAGGACTGGCGTGCGATGCGGATGGCAGAGGCGTCACACTTGGCGTCCCGGTTTCCTTGGGAACGGAGAAGGAACAGGGGATGCTTGATCTACCGAAGCTCGGCCAGGAATTACCATACAGCCCCGAGAAAAAGCTTCTAGCCTCCTCCGTTAAACTTCTAAACCTCGTATATCGTTGAAACGGCGAAGAGGCCGAGGTTCAAACGGAGCGTCTATAGGAACAGGGAAAATGTTCGTTCGTTCGAGCGGGTGAAAGTGAACGGAAGACGCGTCGAAAGTTGAAATAATTGCGTTCGCGGCCGACCGCCGAAACGGGCGGGTTAATTAAAATGAGCAGCGTATAACGGAGCGCGCAACTAGCCTTGATGTACCGGCGATCCGTCAAACGTTACGCACACACGGTTTAACGGTGGTTTGTTTTCGTTGAGAATCCTCTCCCGCGCTAAACCGACAGTAATCGCGGGCTCGCGTTCTCCTCGTCTTTCGAGTGCTGCGCGCGGAAGATTAAAAGCGTTCTCTTCCCATTCGCGATTATTACGGCGAACCGAGTGGCCGGGCTTTCACATTATCCGCCCAGAAAATTCCAGCCTTATCTCGGCCACAATGACACGCTCTCCGGTTCCTCTCTTCCCGTTCCTCTGTTCCGGCGTGTCCCCAGCGACGAGTATTCAGCTCGCTCTTGCAAATTTTCAATCACATCAGTCGTAGCTCGCGCTTCCGAATCGCTCCGAGCGCTCGCTCGCTCGCGCGCGCGCGCGTTATCTGGATCTCGAAAAGGCTCAAAGCGCGGCGCGCTCGTTGCCCCGATCTGTCTTTTTCAATTCGAGCCTACTGCATTCTCGCGCGACAACTAGCAGACCGATCGAGATGACTGATTCCAGGTTCCTTCTTTCACAATCGGGAAAAGTGTGGAGGGCTACAATCATCGGGAATGATTGAACGAATGCTTCTGTTCGCCCGGTTTAATCGTTCCAAGCGATCCGTAGTTTCGTCACGAATGAAACTTTTTCTATTATTGCTATTGTCTATTACTCTGTTCTCCCGTCCCCGCTTTCCCCGATTTGTCCGCGTAACGAAAGCTCTCGAGATCTTTCGGCGGCCCACAAATCATTGACCAGTGTCGTTTCCCGTTGGTTTACAGATCCAGAAAACAGCTGAACCGAGCACGAAGGTCGCCGGCCATGGAATATAATTAGTCCGCCACTTACGGAGCAGCCGGAGTAGCTACGGGTCCGCTGAAACATGCGGTCCGCGCATCGGAAATCGGTCTTTGTGCGAACACGTGCGGACCACAAGCGACCCGTTTCCTTCTTAAACGCAACGGGGACCCTGGAAAACCCCAACGTGGCCGGCCGCACGGAAAACCCTTGAACGGTCAGATTTTCAGAAACATTTGGCCACCGCCAAGGACTTCCTGCCTCTTACGGAGACGCCTCGGCTCCGATAGGATTCTCCGAACGCCTGGGTAATTAGACACGTGCGTTCCTTAATGGAATCTCGCCGTTCTTTCATTCGACTTAACCTATTAACCGGACAAAGCCGAGTTAACCGGCGATTCCTTTGTTTACTCGTTCGAGTGACGATTCTGCAGTTTATCCAGAGATCTCGTTTCCCTGTATAGACGTTCATCATCGAGACGCACGGTTAATAGGTTAAGATCAATGCCAAAGGATCATCTGTTAAACATTCCGCTGATTGTTGCAGGATATTAACGTTCCATTGTTCCACGCGTCTTCCCTCTGAATTGTTAAAGAACCCACGGACGTGTGAGCGGAGAATAGGATTCCGGGGGGATGCTTTGAAATTTTTCAGACAATTCGTTTCGCGGTGAACGGAGGAGAGAACGCGGGAGCACGGGAAAAGGGCGAGGAGAGCAATTCCTCGGGACGTCGAGGTGGAAGAAGGTACCAGGTATTCTTTTCCGAGGCGGAACACTTTACTGTTGCTCGTTCCGCGCTGGTAATGGAGAATCCCCCGGCCACCCCGAGGAATTAATTCGGGGCCAACGCCGAGACACTCCCCGATATCGAGTCACTTTGCTCCGCGGGGTCGTTGTGTTGGTTTCTGCTCGCCACCCCCTCGGTTAGCTTTTCGCCGTACTTAAGCCACTTCGCCGTGGGACCGGCATTTTCCAGCCGCCTAGGAACGATTTCTAATTTACCCCTAATTTCCCTGGCCGCCCCCGAATCCGTTTCAGTAGGTCATCCGTGGAAAAGAGGAAAAAAGGCCAAACAAGGGAGGAAGTTCCGACCGACGTTGTATCAGGCCCGACCGTTTGGCTCCATTTCGCGCCATTAATCGTGTGTTTAAACGGGCCGGCTCTCTTTATTGCCTAGACCGCGGTTTCCAAGATGAGAAGCGAGCTCCTGGCGACGTTCCACGAGCCACCGACGAACTCCCGCCGCTTTTTAATTAGCCCGACAAGAAATCGTTGGGCCGAATGTCTTTATACGCTCCCTAAATACCGTAATTAAAACTTCGCTGCGCCGGACTCGTGTAATCGCTGTCCGATTTACCGCGGCCAACTCGTACACCGGAATTACACGGAGAATACGGCGCGGAGGTTAGCCTGCCCCACATTTTTCAAATATCCTCCGCGCGGTTTCTCCCTCGACGTCATCCGTAACCGGACGTCCCTCTTCAACCCCCACGGGCGAGCCACTCGCGCTTCCGCGGAATTGCCTCAATCTCTGGCTCTTACAACCGCAATGTCTCTATCCAAGGAATAATTGATACCAGCCGCGAGCCTGTAGAAGGAAAATCGAGGGAGCGAGACCCATTCGACGGCGCGAGGACAGATTAAACATTTTTTCCCTTGTAACGCCGCTGTTTCCAGTTTCCCTCGCGAAGCGAGAAGTAAGTATGCTCTCCAGATTCCCCGAGAAGAACGTCTCTAGACGTTTATTCAGGTTTCGTGAATGAAACAACATATTCCGCGGCCTCTCGCAGCATCTTGGGGTTCGCGAAGCCCGCGCTAAAGTGAAGCGAGCGCATATCGAGGGGCGCGGAGGGGAGTCCCGTGAGTGGCCGCGGTAGAAGGGGTGAAAGCGGCGGAGAAAGAGAGGGAAATTCAAAGATGGCGCTACGCGTGCACGCGCGATAGATACGGGTAAACGCGAACGGCCGAGGAAGAGGAACAGAGATAGCCCCTCGTCCGCATCTCTATTTTTCCCCTCCCTCGAGCCAACCGACGAGGACTGACCGAGCTGAAACGTCCGAATACGATCGTCGGATGGTTCAGTCGTGCGCGAGACGCATTTCGTGGCGGTTTCCGTTTCCCGTGATCGATGAGCTTCGGGGCGCGCTCACGGAACACGTACGCGACAGCCAATCCCTGATTCGGTTACATCAGCATCCCGGTCCGTCGCCCCTTCGCGATTGGCCCCGGGTCTCTCGCGTGAAACTCGGACCACCGTTGAGCCCCTTTCGCGATTTTCCTCGGCGAGTAACTGAGTCCGCGGGTTTCTCCTCTGCAGTTCCCGTGGATCACGCGGAACCCGAGGATCGCGGAGACTTCCGGCGAGAGGATTCCCGACGAGACGTCGAGCCGTGCAGGCGACACCGTGGATCGGGAAAGAGGGAGAAAAAGAGGGCAGACGTGAAAGGGTATTTTGGACGCAGATCGATCGGCCGAGGCAGGTCTGGTTCGCGCCATGTGACCGGTCAAAGACCACTACGCGCGGCTGGAGGTTGGACGTGTCCGCGATTAACGCGGCCGGATGTAACTTTAAATCTATCCACGCGAAATAAGAATCGCATCGCATCGCCTCGTCTAGTCGCCGGCGCCGATTAGAAACCGAGCGCGTACGTTTCCACTCGACGCGGACTGATTCCCCGTGAACGGCTCGTTAATCGGCGATCGCGATCAATCGGAAATTCACTGGACTAAACTCGCGAGCAGCGGTGGTTCGCAGCGGTTTCGCAATCGAATTTGTTTATGTTCTATCGCGACGACGATTCCTGCAACGAGGCAGTTTGCGCGATACGGTCAAGGTTCCCGTCGTCGGTTTCGTAAACCGGAAGTCGAGGAATCGCGGTTGGTCGGTCGAACGGGGATGACTGGTCAGAGTTCTTCCGAACGTTCTGTCTTTGTTCCGTGTAAGATTCTCGTGTTCTATTGTATCGTGATTATCGTACGGTATTTGCGATTTCTGAGGAAATCGTGTCCGTTCACTTCCGCTCCCTCGAACCGCGTCCGTCCGAAGAATTCACGCGACGATCGGAGGTTAAAGTTGTCGCGGGACGATTTCGGAAGCCAAAACCGTGGAGTGAATTTGATTCGTGTCGTGTGTTGGACGTATCCTAAAAATCGTGCGAGTTGGCCAACCAGGGAGGTCGTTTCTGGTAGTGGCGGGCTCGAGCGGTTCCGCTCGCGAGGGGGACGCCGACTGGCGAGCGAGCGAGCGCGCGCGCGCGCGCGAGAGTAGTGTCGTTGTCTCGGGTCAGATGTAAAAATAAAAGGAAGCACAGAC